AGACCCTCAATACCCCAGATGGGATCTATGGACCAGCAGCATCACCAATCACCTGGGAGCTAATAATAAATGCAGACTCTCCAGCTCCATCCAAATCTACTGAATCAGAATTGGCATTTTAGCAAAATTCCTAGGTAATTTTTGTTAAAATCTAAGACATAATAGTGTAGAAATTTCAAAACATCTAGCTACACCCACATGTCCATTTCAGGGCAACACTTGGAAAATCCTTCCCAAATTAGCAATAAGAGATCTAACTTCAAATCTATTTTTTTCTATAATTTAGGTATGTGATTCTTTATACTAGAGGATAGGTAATGGGAATCACAGCTATAAATACAGTTGTGATAATTAAATGAGCTAAGATACACAAAAACATCTTGCTTTGTGCCTGACAAACTGGTGGTATGAAATAAATAATTTATTTTCCCTCATGAAATATAGTGGTAAAACATTTTTTAAAAATGTTCATTGAGATTAATGCATGTAACAAAAAATGTTAGACCTGGATGTTGATGAGCAGTATTGTGTAGGTGCAAAGCAATGTATGTATAGTATCTAAAAGTTTGCTCCCTAGCTCAGAATAAAATGTTTTTGTTACTTACATGTGAGAATATGTTTTAAAAAACTAACACTATCAAATCTTGATTAGCACTAGAGATGTGAAATCAGATATACATTTGTTTTACTATCGCCCCCAACTTCACATGTCTGCTTTGTGCTGAACAAATCTAGCACAGCATCTCATTCCAATACAGAATGCAGATGTTTAAAAAGCAAAATTACTGCTGACTATGGCAATATTTGGATGAAAATTACTTTCTAAACATCCAAATTCAATGGAAAATTGAAATAAACTCACTTGAAGTTGGATGTTTTCTTGAAATTCTATTTATGGGTCTATAGAAACATAGGTTTGCTTTCTAAATGGGGATGTAATTGAGCAATTATTAATTGCCTACAGAACAAGGTTTGCATATCTTGAAATCAACAATAGACAGAAAAGCTCCACACAATTACTCACTTTTATGCATAAAAATCTATACAAAGATTTATGCAGATATTTTTATATCATGAAATCAACAATAGAGGGAAAATCCCTCCCAAATGATCAGCCATTTTCATGTAGCTCTCTTTAATGTCATTTTGAATATTGAGAAAAGGAATCAGGTTGCTTTTCAATACTACATCTAGGGCTCATGAAAACATTTCACTGATAATGTCTTGATTTCCTTTTAAAAAAATCATTAAAAAAACCTGTTAATGCTAACAATATGGGAGACATATATTTGTCTCCCCCTCACCCCTTCTTTTTTCAAACAGACATATTTTAAATTCAAATTACTCTAAAGAAAATATGACTCCATCTCCAGGAAATCTCAAGATATCTACCAAAGGCAAGTTACTCTTTATAGAATCATTTGAGATTTAAATTTTTTAAAATAGTCTAAAAACACATGCCCCATCAGCTGTTTATATGAACCACATAAAATCACCAATATCTGGCAATTCTTGACTCACAGAAACAGTGATTTCATGTGTTCAAATTAATAGTTTCCTCCCTTCATAGTTTAAAGAAACACTCACTCCAAGTTGACATTTTGTATTTGTTGTAGTGTCCATTAGTAAATGGCCAAGAATTTAGCTTGTGTTCTGATGGCATACATTAGAAATTCTTAATTAGAAATTCTTAATTTGCATATAAAAATTACTGGGTAAATAGTATAAACTAGTACTGTTTTGATGAATTCTCACTAGTAGTGTCAGCAGGCAGAGTACTCTTTTATAAATAGAAGGGGGAGAAAAGAAGAAACTAGGGTGGTTTTTGTAAAATGTCATTTGGAAAAATTTAAACAATAAAATGACTTAAAATTTTTTAAAAAATCATAAAAAACATGTTCCCTCTGGGTAAATGTTTTGATCAAGTTTCATGTAAGGGACAATTGTAATAACAACTCATGCCCTCGACGCTACACCTCAAGTTTCAGTTGTCAAATGATGTACAAGTTATCAGAATTTTGCTCAATAAATAGCTGGAGTGTATCATAGAATAAAAGAGAACATCCATCCCTTAATGTTTGTTATCCAGAACAATGAGAAGTATTGTTTTAAATGATTACACAGAGGAATGAAAAAATCTTGAACTGCCTTCCAGTCCATTAAGGAGATTTAGTTATGCTTATCAGAGCCTCAGACATTCAAGTATATCATTGTTTCATTTTCCTGAAAACTTGTAAATTGCTGATGCTTACAGGATGATAGTATTTAAAATTAACTTGTGTGCTAACCACAAGCCTCTGTATGTATGTATGAATATATATGTATATGTGTGTATGTGTGTATGTACACACACTGTGTTTCTGAATACTGAACAAGAAATTATTAAGAAAAGACATCTGTGATATTCTACCTCTTTTGCATTATAAATTAATCCTTTGCCTTCTCAGCATATAATCTAAAGTCTCACATGTCAGGGGACACCATTAGGTGCAGAGACTCACCTGTCATGCTCAGCAATAGCTTGTGAAGCTCCTTGATATAATTAATAAGCAGTTTTGCATTAGGATGGAAAGTTTTCTTGTATTCAGTGTCTATTATCATCATGTAAGAAAAACCCTCCCACTGAATATCTGGAAACAGGCTCAGTTTGTAGGTAAACATCAGACAGGCTTACCCACTTAGTGGAAACTTACCTTATGCCCACTACTTCACCTAAAGTTACCACTAATGCTTGTATTTAAACTGGTTTTTTGTTTTATTTTTTTATGTTTTAATGAGAGTTAGGAAAAAATAATTTTAAAAGGATGACTTTATCAAAGGTTCATCTGCCAAAAACCCAACACGTTCAAACTGAATTCAAAAGCAAGCAATATGCCTGGTAGTATATCTTATTCTTTCTTCATTGAGCAGTAAATCCTCTCTTTAAAGCAATAATATATTCTTTGAAGAATATCTAAACATGTCAGAAGGTTAAGTGGATCTGGCCTAAAAAATTGCTTTACAAATTTATAAGCATTTCAAATTTCCATAGTGAAGACAGAAGATATATTATGAAACAATTATAAAGCAACAGCCAACTGGAGAAAGAGTGAATAGATATGCAATTTGTTCCAAATGTCCAAGAAAGAAATATTTTAACACATTATCTGTCTCAGCTGTACACACCAGGGGATCTGTAGACCAGCATTGCCACAGGAACTTTTCCTACAGGTCTACATGGAGACTAGGAAAGAAATATTTATTAACTTGCATAACAATTTAACTGAATTATTTTATGTCAATTGAATCTGATAATAATATGTTTGGACTTGAATTTTGTATGTCATTACTTTTTTTGGTAAGTAATTTATATTTAATCTTAACCATAGTATGTTAATATTAATCAATGTTAATATTGTCCACATGGATTGAAATTTGAAAATATATGTATATTTAAAAAAAGAAAACCTGATCCTTCTTACAGAGGTTCTAGTGAATTTCTACCTTCCAAATAATTCTTAGTAAAACCAGCCATTGCTAAGTGCTTTCATCCTATTTTTAAATGTACCATGGACAGGTAATTTCATGATTTACCCTAGCATTGGTTTCAGTTGCCCTCACTATTAAGAAACCCAGGCCCATCATTAACATAAGTCCCTAGTCTGTACAGTGAGGCATCATAGTGACACTGAAAGAAATAGGGGATAGGCCACCACATTCTTTCTTGTCTATTTTTCATTACTGAAAAGACCACTAGAAAATGATTGTCTTTGCTCTCACTGCCAGTATTCTAACCCCACCCACTTTTTGCTTTTTTGCCAAGGAAGAAGATAAGAATACAGAAAAAGTGGGATTGATTTTTGCTGAGTTAACTTTTAACATAGTTAAGCCATCCTACTCATTTTCTTAAGTGCTGTGAGGCTAGAATCAGAATTGCTTAATCCACATTTATACTAGCATCAAATAAAATAACTAGGAATAACTATAAAACATGTATAAAGTAAATTAGACACAAATAAATGGAAAGGGATCCCATGTTCATGGATTAAAAGAAGTACTAATATTAAAACATTCATACTATCCAAAGTGATACAGATTCAACAAAACGCCTATCAGAATTCCAATGGCATTTTTCACAGAAATAGAAAACAATTTTAAAATTTCCATGGTACCACAAAAGAATCTAAGTAGTCAAAGCAATTCTGAGAAAGAAAACAAAGTTGGAAGCATCACACTACCTGATTTAAAATTATATTACATAGTTATTGTAACCGAAACTTTTTATACAGGCATAGAAACAGATATATAGGGTAATAAAGCAGAATATAAAGCTCAGAAATGGACTCAAACATATATAACAAACTAATTTTTGACAAGAATACCAAGAATACACAGTGGGAGAATTATAAGCTGTTTAGTAAATGGTGCTCGAAAAATCTCAAACAAATAAAATTAGACTCTTATCTCACACCATACACAAAAACCAATCCCAAACTGATTAAAGACCAAAATGTAAGAATAAAACCATAAAACTCCTGAAAGAAAATGGAAGTAAGCTCCATGACATTGGTTTTAGCAATAGTTTTATGGATAGGACAATTTGATAGCAAAAAATGAACAGTCCAATTTTAAAATGGGCAAAGAACTCAAATACACATTTCTCCAGAGAAGAAGTAAGAATGTCCAATATGCTTAAAAAAAGTGCTTAAAATCACTAAGAAATACTTATCAATACCATAATAAGATATAACCTCACACTTCATTAGATGGCTATGATTAAAAAAATGGTAAGTATTTGTAAAGGTTTGGAGAAAGGGATCCTTTAAATATTGTTAGTAGAAACGTATATTGGTGAAGCTTTTACAGAAACAGTATGTGGTTCCTCATAAAGTTACCTATAGAAATACATATGATCCAGAGATTCCTGTTCTGAGTATATATCCAAATAAAATTGAATCAACACCTTGTAGAGATATCTTCACTCCCATATTCCTAAGCATTACTCATAATAGCCAAGATATGTGTTCTCTTTAGTAACACATATACTAAAATTGGAATGATACAGAGAAAATTCACATGGTCCCTGTGCATGAATGACACACAATACGTGAAGCATTCCATATTTTTACTGCTTTGAAATAAATGGACGCTTTAGCTAAAAAAAAAAAAATAGCCAAGATATGTTAAACATTTAAATGTCTGTTAATGGCCAACTGCATAAAGATATTCTGGTATAGGTGTTCAATGAAGTATCATTCAGTCTTATTAAAGAAGGTATCCTGCCATTTGCAACAAGATGGAGGAATCTAAAGGACATCATGATAAGTGAAATAAGCTACATACATGAAGAAAACTACCGCATGATCTCTCTTATACTTGACATCTAACAACAAGTTGAATATCTAAATACAAAGTAGAAGGGTGATTATCAGGGGGAATAAAGGAGAGAAATTGGAGATATACCTCAAAGAGTACCAGCCTACAAACCTAGAGTTCTAACGTATAGTAAGAGGAATACCATTAATAATAATATTGTATTTTATACGGGAAATTTGCTAAGACAGTAGATTTTAGGTACCCTTCCAAAAGAAAGCAGGTAACTATGAAATAATAACTGTTAATTAGCTTGATGAAAATAATCATTTTACTATATATATATATATATATATATATATATATATATATATATATATATAAATTTTTAAAAAATTGCCTTATTCAAAATCCATAAGTACCTCCAAATACATGAACAAGATTCTTCCAAACAGGTCAGACCAGGAGCATCATCTCTCTGTTGAAGGCACAGTATATTTTGAAATTTGGTTTATCCCAATTGTGTTGTCCTTTAGTCTAGACATTAAGGGTCTTCACCATTTTACAACCAGTGGAATCTTTTCTGTCAGCAGCAGCTTTAATTATGCTCCAATTAACCTTAATTAAGACAGTTCTGGTGTAACAGTGCACCCAGAGAGTTCACTAAACAAACAGCTTGACAAATGCTGTCATTTAAAATCCTTTCCAAACATGTCACTTTCTTAATTAGGAAATCAAGTTGTGAGGATTCTATATTCACAGATATTATTTGGGAAATTAAAGAGAAGATGGGGGCTACTTCCTCTTCACACTCCTTAAATGCATTGGTCACAGCAGAACATGCTGCTAAAGATGAACCCATGGGGCAAGACCATGAAGAGCATCACCATGTGAGCATTTGCTCTAGGTGGGCAGTAAAACAAATGGTATCAAATTACTGGAGTTAGTTTCATTTTTCAAGGGAAGATTAGGAAATGAAAGGAGGAATTTCATGGAAATCATGAAAGGACTTAAGATTGATCTGTTTGTATGAAGCTGAAAGTCACAGACATTATAAATTTAATAGGAAAGCTGACAACTTTGGTATTTAAATGTATGTCTTTGACATACTTGTGATATTGGATCCTATGTTAAAAAAGACACATTTCCATCCATTCAAACTATAATTTATGATATTCAGCAGAATTTTTAAATATCAGGTCTACACATTTCTTATTTTTTCATGTTTTTGTTGATTTTGTAAATGGAGTCTTTCCTTTCAACGAATCTATTTAGTTTTATCTGAAAATATCTTAATGTGAAATCTATCACACAAAAATATACTTTATATGAGTATATAGTGTTTTAAATATATGCATAACATTTAGCATGCAGCTTAAGAAATAGAGCATTAATAGTTTAAATCCCCTTGTGTTTTTTCTCTGTAATCACACTCCCTGTCCATCCTCCACTCCAGGAATAGCTTCTAAATTAGTGCTAATCATCTTTCTCATTATATTTAGAGTTCCTCCACCTCTGCATAGTATAGACCTAAACTGTGTGTAATTTTGCTCATTTTTGGCATTTATATTTTTGCAATCATACATAGTATTATTTTTTCCAATAAAATATGTTTACTCTTAATCCACATATGAATATATAGCTAAACTTTGTTTCATTTCCATAAGTTAATATATGACTGTATCATAAAAATATACTCGCTCTAATGGTGAACTGTGTAGCAGGCAGAAAGAATTCTTGGATTTCCCCCCAAGATTCTCAACTCTGGTGTATACACATTTTCACCCACTTACTCAAAACACTACCCTAGATGCTGCTGTGAAGAGACTTTAAAGATGTAATTAAAATGATTGATCAGTTACTTTTACATTGGGAAGAGTATCACAGGTGGCCTGATCTATTTAGCTGAATGTTTAAATGAAGTCAGGGAGATTCAAAACCAGAGACAATCATGGGTCAAGGAACTACTTTTGACCTCTAAGACTGAGAGTGGACTCTACATAATAACCAGCAAGAAAATTAACACCCCAATCCTACAACTGCGTGAAGCTGAATTCTGCCAGCTACCACACAAGCTTAAGAAACAAACAAGCAACCTAGCCAACACTGTGACTTCAGCCTCATAAGACCCTACAGAGAATTCAATTAGGATGGGTTCAAGATTCTAATTTATAAAGTGTGAGAGAATAAATGTTTTAAACCATGTGATCTCTGGTCATTTTTTTAAGCAGCAATAGAAAACTAATGTAGGTTATTTTTCTATTATACACGTGTGCTCTGAATATATTTGTACATGTTACCAGGTGCACATACGCAGGAATTAAGAGCAGACACCTATGAATAGAATGGAGTTGTGCAGTTATCTGATACACACATTACCAATGTCAATTATTTCCCAAAGTAACTTCAATTTATACTTCCACCAGCAGTCATAAGAGTTTCTTTTGATTTACATTCTTCCTCAAACATAGCGTTGGCAGGACTTAAGTTTTTTCCAAACTAGTGACTATGAAATATTTATTGTTGGTCTTAATTTGCAGTTCTCTGAATTATTAATGACTCTGAGGACTTTTCCATGTTTATGTGTCACTCATGTTTCTTCTCTTGTGAAATGCTTCTTCAAAGGACATATTGATTCACAGGAATAATCAATAACTTTCCCACTAATCTGCTGAACCAAATTGAACTCAGATTCATGAGTCTACTTTTGGGTCTCTGTTATGTGCCCATGGGAGATTATGAATCTATTCCTATATTTTATATACATATTTACATATCTAAATGCATACAGACACATATATGTGTATATATATACACACATATAGAACATATATGCATACAGATATATATATGTCATATATACACATATAGAATATATATACATATATATGTGTACACACATACATGCATGTACAGAAATTTGTATTTACGGCTCTTTGGGCCCTTTGCTCTTCAAATACATTTTATAGCTTGCCAAATTTCATTTAAAAATAACACTGGATTTTAATTCATTTGACTCTATAAATTAATTTGGAATTAAACAGCATCTAAATGTCAGCATTTAGTGAGACTTTCTGTTCATTATAACAGTATGTTTATATATTCAGTTCTTTAATTCCATTTTTAAAATTTCATCATTACATACATAAAGATTGTACCTTTTGTAAAATGCATGTGTAGCAGGAACATTTATAACTATTGAATAAAATATCCCCCCCTTTTTTCCGTATCAGGGATTGAACCCAGGACCTCACATATACTAGGTAAGTATTCTACCACTAATCTTCATCCCCAGGCTATATGATATCTTTCTCCATTACATACTTCTAAATGTTTATGGATAATATATACAAATAAAATTGATATTTTTACACATTGGTCTTATATTCAGAAAAATTGCTAAAATCTCCACTATGGAATCAATGTGTTCCCCTGAAGTTCATGTGTTGGAAATTTAATTTTCAATATCGCAGTGTCAGGAAGAGAAGGCTAGTGAGAAGTATTCGGTTCTCAAAAGAATGGGTTGTTATAAATTCAAGTTCAGCTTCCTTGGCTCACTCTTGCCCTACCCTTTTGCTTCGGCCATAGTATGAGGCAGCAAGACAGCCTTCACCAGAAGGTAAACAGATAACAGCACCATGCTCTTGAACTTCCCAACTTCCAAAACCATGAAACAAAATAAACTTTTTGCTTTTATAAATTACTCATTCTGTGACATTTTGTTACAACAACAGAAAATGAACTTCAGACACTCTGGTATTAAACCTGTAATTTTCTGGTATAAAACTTTCTTTGAGATAATCTCAAGAAAATTTGGTCTTATTCTGTCTAATCTTTCAACCTTTGACTTCTTTTTCTTATCCTATTACACTGGCTAGCAAATGTTGGATAACAATGTTAGTAGTAGGCATGCTTGCATGCTCCTGATTTTAAAGAAACTGCCTTTGTTTTATCATCATGATAGTGAATTTTAAGGAATTATTATTATTATTATTATTATTATTATTATTTGCATATAGCATTCAGACTTAAAACTACAATAATAGCTCTTCCCTGGGTCTCTAACCTACCAGCACACCAGCCCACTATGCAGATTTTAGATTTGCCAGCTTGTGTAATTGTATAGGCCAATTTCTTAAAATAAATCTTGTGTGTGTGTGTGTGTGTGTGTGCGCGCGCGCACGCCTGCATACACATACACACAGGCAAGCATCCTATTGGTTGTCTTTTTGGAGAACTATAACTAGTACAATCATAAAAGTAATTTGTGTTTTTTTCTTTTTTGAAATAAAAATATTCACCAGCTAAGAAAATACCTGTATTCCACATTTGTTAAGTCTTTTTGGTCTGGTTATGTCATGAATGATTGTTAAACTTTTTAAAATTTATCAGTATGATCATAAAGATGTTATAGTTTTCTTTTCCTGTCTGCTATTATGGTGAGTCACACTACATAATAATCTACATGCAAGTAATACACACAAACTGGTCAGGATGTTTTATGAATCATGTTGTGTTGTACAGTGCTGGGTTCCATTTCATATTGAATTTGAGTGTGAAGTGAAGGGTTTGCTTTCATGCCCATGAGTGATTGAATTTTAATTTCCATTTATCATATTGTCCTGTCCTAATTATGGTGTTTTGTAGTGTTTTATGGTGATTATGATCTTACTAGACTCAAATTTCTAAATATTCACTCTTTCTAGACTTTGAAAGAATTTTTGAAAGTTTAGAATTATCTATTCCTTGAGTATTTGAGCTAGTAAACAACTGAAATTTGCCTCCTAAAAACATTCACAATTCTTGAAATGTTG